TTTGGGTACGACCTTGTTTGACAACCTTGCATGTGATCATGCTGGGTTATGTGATGTGTCAATTGTGTCATACTCCCCCTCAAATTCTGGGCCTGCGACGTCACTATCAGCAGCTTATAGTGATGACGTCGCCCGCAGACCTCGATAGAATGCTTGCGATTCAGGCTGTACTAGTGAGTTAATTTTTTGTCGATTTTAAATCGAAAGAAATTAGAGGTGTTTTCTCGCGGGGCGAATGGTGTGAATTACGGTTTAAACCAGTTTGTAGATGACGTCATTACTTGTGAACGCGAGAAAATGGAAGGTTTGAATCACAGTCTTATGTTAACGAAGAACAAGCCATGAGTCCGGTTCGAACTTTTCTGAACCAGGTTCAATGTGACGTCACTGGTTCAACGCAAGAATGTACAGGTTCGAACCTAATTGAACCAGATCGAACAAGTTCCACCGCGAGAAAACAGCTTAAGTGTTCTTGATCCTCGAGTATCCCAGAATTTGATGGTGGGAGAGTTAGGGGAGTATGACACAATTGACACATCACCTAATCGAGCATCAATATGGTTGCCAGATTTACGAGAGGGAAAAACGTGGCAACGACGGGGGGCGGGGAAATTATTTTATTCTAGTTCTATCCTACGCACAAGAAATTTGGTCACCTTCAGTGGGGGTAAATCTTTTATTTCCGTAAGCTCATGACAAGTAGAAATCTACTTTCATGACGTCACCCGCGATTTATTTATCGCGTAATGATGATGGTTGCTAGGCAACCTGACGTCTTAAAAGTAGAATTCTACTTGTCGTGATCCCATACTCTCCACACAAAAAGTCGCAAAAAACTTCATTTTTCAACGCTCATATCTCAAAGGCCGTAGAACCTACAAGATTTCGTCCCATTTAAAGGTTGTTCAGAATTAAATCTTCTACAACAGATCAAAAAATGGGAAAAATCCATAGATCCCAAAAATCCCATGTTAGGTGTGCGTTATCCTTTATGACTTGATTCCAATAACTAGGTAAATGACTATGTAATTACTGTTTATTTCAAATAAAATGCCCTACATGCCCTGGATGTTTTGTTTGTTTGTTTATAAAATTAAAATTCATCGACAAAAACGCAGAATGGGTCTCGCCAACCCCACATATCGCCAACCTAAAATGGGCTTTTATTGCCTTTTATTAAAATCTATAGGAAATTTGCGACGTTATCGGTGAGTTCCTTTCAGCTGGCCCTCATTACAAAATCAGTAACTAATTTGAGTGCAAAATTCTTTGGTGCATCGAACCGACATTTTTATCGTGATTACATAATTATCCGTGATTAGATAATAACGAAAATACGTGAAAATGGTGAATAGTTATACCTTGCACACCTATGAGGAGCTTCGGAACAGCTCCGGGGCGTTACGCGCTTATTTCTTCCGAAAAGTGTTTGTTGCACCCAATGAACTGTACTCAAGCCCAAAGTAAACCATAAATGCACGAAAGTCAGCGAATCGGTTCCTTTCAAATCGGGGTGACACACCGGAGCGAGTAGCCTAGTGTTTCAAACTCTTGAAAGGAATACAGCTAGATACATACTGGAAAGCAGCTTATACAGGGTGTCCCAGAATATGTGGGCAATCTCTCGGATTTAGATAGAACTCGAAAAAATAACATGACAACTTCCTATAAAAAAAAATTCCTACGGCCCCCCCTACGAAGTTACGTGCCCCTAAAGGACGCCTCTGAAAATCGGTTTTTTGTTGATAATTTTCAAAATACTTCGTGTAATTTTTTTTCTTTTAATATGATGGATACTAGGTTAGACTCCCTAAAATGGACCCTCTCAAACAAACTTGACCAATCTGGTTTGCCAGGGACGGACTAGCTTTAACGCAATAATAAAACTGAGGAAATATTAGTAGAAAGGATTAATTTTCACTTTCGCGAAATAAGGCCTAATATTGAAGCATTGTCGAAAGTCGAACAATATTTTATTAAAATAGGTATGGAATGCATAAGATTAGAAGGATCTCATGTTCAGTCGACATAAAAAATTATTTAATAAAAAACCATTAATACACAAAAACAGAGTTTCCTCGAAACCAGCTCATTTTTTGACATCGAATAAGAGTACCTTTTTTCTAGTTCAAGGTAGAAACAATCTAAAAATATTATTGCTATGCCTATATCATACAGGGTGTAAAAAAAATTAGCATTATTGTGTTAAAGCTAGTCCGTCCCTGGCAAACTAGATTGGCCAAGTGTGTTTGAAAGGGTCCATTTTAAGGGGTCTTATCTAATATCCATCATATTAAAAGAAAAAAAAATACACGAAGTATTTTGATAGTTATCAACAAAAAAACGATTTTCAGATGCGTCCTTTAGGGGCACGTAACTTCGTAGGGGGGGCAGTAGGAATTTTTTTTTATAGGAAGTTGTCATGTTATTTTTTTGTGTTCTATCTGAATCCGAGAGATTGCCCACATATTCTGGGACACCCTGTATATCCTATCGGCGGTTCACTCTCGTACTCTATCCGTTCCAGCGGCCGCACCGGTGCGGCGTGATCCCGACAATCCAGAGCCGTTGATCGAATCGAGTCTGTCGGTGTAATGTACTCCGTCTCTGAATCCGTGTCCCTACTCCGAGTCCACACTTTTTCCTGTCCCATTGGCCGGCGCGGCGTGATCCGATTAGTTCGAGTTTGAGTCCGAGTCCGTACAACGTAGACAACGCAAAAGTGGTCCGGACTTGAACTCGAACTTGGACCGGACCTGTTTATTTTGCAGTGGATCAGTTCCCACTGTGAAGATCAGTTCCAGTATTTGGCCCTGATAATAGCCAATTTTGGGTTGGCGAGATCCCATATCTGCGTTTTTTTCCATGAATAAATTTTAGGTATACAGTATACACAAACAAACAAAGCATCCTGGGCATTTTATTTGAAATAAACAGTAATTACCGTAATTTCATAGTCATTAGTTACTGGAATCAAGCCATAAAATTGCATATTATACTACCACACTATCATAAGTTAAGTTAGGGCATCTTCCACCTCTTCAAGAAGATCTGACTATTGGTTTATAAGATCATCCATCCAAGGCTTCAAAATAATTTTCCTTCTCATTCCAACGCGTTGGAAATCCATCTAACACAATCATTATTTATCAGTATCCAAATCATCGTCAAATAATAGGTGGTCCATCTCCATATTCCTTATTTGATTTCTTCCTGTTCACCCTCGCCACACACTATTTTTCCAGTTTTTTTTTTTTTTTTTTTTGACAAAAATGTTTTTAAAATGTAAAAACCACAGACCTGTAAAAACAAAACATTCTATCCTCATTTTATTAACTAGCCGCGGTTATCCTAAATTCCAGGCCATCGAGCGATTTAAGTTAATTGCCGATTAGGCGAAAAAAACGCTTGGTGTATAAGAAAAATATTATGTGATCACGGCTAAAGTTTAATCAGAGAATTTGTGTAATGGTGCATACCAGGCAAATGCAAAATCCTTTGGTACATCGAATCGACTTTTTTAACCGTGATTACATAATTAGCCCTGATTAGCTAATTACTAAAATACCTGAAAATGGTGCATACAGGCATAAAATGTTGCTGATCGGAGAAATTTTACTGAATATTCGCAAAAACCTATTATACCTATTATTGGCGTTCAGCGACGACCGAAATTGAAATTATTTAGCGAATTTGAAATGCTATTTTTTAATAGAATGAGAATAGGAAATTATTATTAATTATATTTGATTTGATTATTATTATTATAGTAATTATAGTTTGTCTTATTGCAAAATGATGTGATTTCATTTTTTATTAAGTTACGCTAATTTAAGGTGAAGCGGCGCTTCACCTGCGTCATGCGGCGAGCCGCCACTGATTTTGAAAATGCTGTACAATACAGCGAAATGCTGTACGTATGGTCACCCTAAGCTAAAGCGTTGTCCGTCGTTTTTAATATGACACTTTCCATGAGGAGCAAGGGGGTGAAGCCATAGACATTCTAATGTAGAGAGCCACCAGCTCACATTTCTTTGGTGTATCAAATTAAAATCGACGGACTTTAAACGTTGTGCTTTTTGTACTTTAATAAATTGATAGTAATTCTAGAAAAATTAGTGTGCTCTCGATCTTCATTCATTTTTGAAATTCAATAGATTTTGTTAACTTGAAGTTGGCTGTATGTTTTGGTTTAGCTATTTAGAATAATTACATACGTTAGAACTTCCACAATTCAATTTCAAAAATTGAGTGAAGTTACTACCGGAAAAAAGCAAGAATCCTCTTATGCAAGAGAGCAGAATCACTCGCAACACGGCAGGCCCAACATACCTACTTGTGAGGGGTAATAGCGTATTTCTCAATTTCTGCTTGGGAAGAGTTGCCGAAATATCCCTGCGTTCGTTGCCATTCGAGGAATAATAGCAAATTATTCAATTCGCAGAATGCGTAGGCGATTTAGTTTGCACCAATGTTTAACAGATCGTAAACTGTGTATTTAGTTTGCCGAATGACCAACTTCAGCGCGATTTAACCAAATTTAACTTGCAAATGCTATAATACATTGTATTAACCTTTTTTAGGTTCGTGACTTGTTTTTATATGTGCACAAGATTGCAGGTTCAGGTCATTTTTGTTGAGGAGGTTCTTTTTTTCCTTTGTCGACGTCTCCGTAAAAAATACAAATTCAGATAGAAATTTGAAAGATATGCACAGAAAAGCATATCATTTGGAATCAAAATAACATCACAATCGTTGAACAAACAATACAATGGTTGAACCTCTTGTAATAATAATATTTCGTAGCTTTTCTTTGCATATTATCTTAATAAAATCAAATGTTCTTGCGAATATGTTTCCTTTCGCAAGACAACGAATTCTGAGAGCTCTGGTAATGGATTTGATTTTTCAACCAAACTGCCAGCAAAGAAAAAAAGTATTTTTTTTTTTAATGACTGAAACTGCATCATTGTTCTATCCAGTTCAATCATTATATTTACCGTTGCTCAAAATATCATCATCACTAGTTTGTCCTTGTTTCATATAAATCACTCCAAATTTGAAATTAACCGAACCCTCTTGTTCCTCGAGCAAAAGTAAGTCCTTCTGAATATCTGGTGTGAATATTTCCTTTGGTCCTTTTTCCACTTTATCCATATTTGGAAAATTTGACAAAATTTGTTTCACCGTCAAAACTTTATTTAGTGGTATTGGCAATGAGATTTTGTGCGCACCCTGAAAATAATAGATTTGTTTATCCAGTAGGTACGATTATATATACAGGGTGTTCATTTTAAAACTTATATACCACCCCTATTATCTGGAACACGTTAACTATAATTTGAATGGAGACGAGTTTTTATGCAAAATTTATCTTGACGTGTTTCAGGGATTTTTTCGAAAATTTTTCAACTCCGAGGTAATAGGGGTGATAAGTTATAGAATGACCACCCTGTATATACTAATTTTGAGAGTACTCAAAGAAAAATCATCGTAGGCACACTATTTTTATGCAATTGAGAAAGCTATGGAGGAACTTTTCTTTGAAAAAAATCCAATTTCAACAAAAAGTATCCTGCTGCCTGCTGGCCTTACAGGCACAGCGTTTTTATTGAAACGTAACAACTATTTTGCATGTACACAAAACAGTTTGCCAGTTCTGGGCAACTCGAAAAAATATCATGGAGTGTAAAAGCGACATTGCTTTAGTATATTTCCTGAAAACATCGTAAACTCGTAATTTTTTTTTCTACAACAACAGTAATTTCGTTTTCTCAATATTTTCTTAATAACATGAAAATATTTAGTAAGTTCAATTAAATTTTTAGTCAAGAAAAATTCCTGAGTAAAGTAGAGGGCAGGTTCGGACACGGGGTACCTCCGTAAATTTTATATTTCTCACTTACCGGTGACTCTAGATATCTGTAATTACATAAATTAGCGTCAGTGGTGGCTCGAACGTAGTGTACTAAACAACGCGCTTCCAAACGGCCGATTCCATCAAGAATTTTATTTTATTTTTTCAAATACCATCAAAAGTAAGTATTTCACATATTATTCATAAGGTGCTCTATTTGGGGTCATCATATTTCACTTTTTAAGAGATGCATGTGACAAAGTAAGCATTTGTGCACTACATAACCTATATTTTAACTGGCAGAAACATTTAGAAATAACGGTTAAGTTGTTGAAAAAATGACGGGGTAGATTTGGTCGAGGCACATTCGGAACTGTCCGGAACTGCCTGAAGAATAATCAGAAATTAAATTCTAATTGTTTTTTCGAATGGGCACAGCGTTTCCTTTTTGCTCATGACAGCATTTTATTACAGAATGGTCAGAACTTATGTAAGGAAATAGCAGGTGCCAGACGTGCTGTAACAAAATCAATAGCAAATTCATATTCTCAATTCAAGCTCATCTTTCGTGGGAAAAGTTTTATTTTTATAGATAGTTGAAATGTGACCCTAATGAAATTTACAAACACATGGAGTTCTGCGAACGGAATAATCTGTTCGAGGGTAAAAATCACTTCACAGCCAGAAAAGTATAGAATTTTATAGCTTCAAGATTTTGCTGTAACCCGAAATTGACAAATATACAGGCAAAATTTATGTTTTCCTGAGATAAACACTAAACTTAAAACTAATCTATCAACTGAACCAGATTCCATGTAGTAGTAATTTATTCGAAGTCAAGGATAATCTCTGATTACCCACGTTTTATGACGAACCTAGATGTCAGGTAACTGATAGCGCTGCAAAGAATTATGTAAAGCATATGTGTGTGTAGCGAAGCAATAATTACATGAGCTGGATTTTTAAGATACAATAAGCAATTGTATAACAAAATTTTCAAGGATTATTACTTGGGTACTTGGTCGATAGTAAGGGTCTCAGACCTCATCCTGAAAAGGTCGGAGCCATTGTGAATCTTCCACTGCCTCAGAATGTGAACGAAGTGCTCCGGTTTATAGGTACTGCATCTTGGTACCCACGTTTTGTCCCTGATTTCTCATCTCTTTTGGCTCCTCTTCCAAAAGGAACGTCAGGTGGATCTGGACACAGGATTGTCAGAGGTCATTTACAGCCCTAAAGAAGTGCTTAGTCACTGCTCCTGTTTTGACTGCACCAGATTTTGAGCAGGCTGATGTCTCTTCTTTTGGACTTGGAGCTGTCTTGACCCAGAAATTCGATGAGGGTAAAAGGTGGTATGGTATCTTTCTCGATCCTCAACCAAACAAGAAATGGAACTGTCAGTAACGGAGAAAAAGTGTTTGGTTCATTTCACACCCTTGATAATTAGGTTAGAAATTAGGGAACTTTTTTATTTTATACATTTAACAAGGTTAGAAATTACGGAACTTTTATTTTATACATTTAATTAGGTTAGAAATTAGGGAAATTTTTTATTTTATACATTTAATAAGGTTAGAAATTAGGGAACTTTTATTTTATACATTTAATTAGGTTAAAAATTAGGGAACTTTTATTTTATTCACTTGATTAGGTTAGAAATTAGGGAACTTTTATTTTATTTGCTCGACTAAGTTAGAAATTGAGAAATATAAATGGAAAGCATATTAGGTAATTAGAAAAGGGAAAGGATTTCAATTGAAAGGGAAAACATAAAAGGTTCAATTAATAATTTGATCACATGTAACTAGCGAACTTTGTTGGAGATCCATCAAATTGGATCACAGGGTGGAGCACTTTGGATGGGGAAGGTTGAATAAACTTGAGAACCAATGAGAACACAACAATAAATCAAAAGGTACTTTCCAGTAATCGAAAGTTAAGAGGGTTGTAGATCCTCGACTTTGTCGATTTTCGCAAGCTCGGTACTAAGGCGCAGCCAATGGGCTTCTAAAGTGGTACCCAGAGGGTGGTTCCTTTTGCTTATTTAAGCAGATGTTGAGGCCAGTTAACGTCAGTTATCGTCAATTCGCCACTAGTTTTTACTACGAGTTATCGCCGGAAATTCAAGTCGCAAAGCATCAACGAGTTCTCGATCCGTTTCTCATCCTCTAGTTCATCTGCCGCCCGGTGTTTTAGTAAAAGCTCTCCAAAGAGGTGATAGTTATTTTTAATTTCAATTCCAATAAAGTAACAGATTTGGAACTAAATCTTTTATTCGGGAAATTACTCTCTTTTCTTTCAATTATCTTTAATTTTTCCTTAGTCAAAAATTGTTCATGGTCTATTAATTATATAAGGTATTTTAGTTTTTTTTTTTTTTTTTTTTAATATTTTACTTTACCTTTTTTTTATCTTCAAATAATTAACGCTAACTTTTCTTTTCACTCATAAATAAATTAATTTAAATCTTTCAAAATTAGTCTTTTCTTTTCTGGTTTTAAAATTTCAATTAAAACACTGGTGGTGACGTAGAAAGATCTTACGTGCCGGTTTGTGCGGTTAAAGAAGGTGTTTCCAGCTTCAGCAGGAAAGTGGTAAGTGGTACTAATAACACCTTTCAATAACCACTCCAAGAAGAGAAGAAAGAAGATTTCGTTCAGATTGCCTCCGGTTCAGAAAACTGTTATTTGATGCTTCAGATCAAATTTACTTTTCTCATAATTTACCACGAAATTTTGAGATGTGACAGAATTATTCACGCTACCAAAATATCAATTTTTACATAACATCTCAATTTGGTTATAGTGCCAGAAGAGACAATCAGAGCTGCTGTTAAAGATTTTGTGTCTAAACATATGTCGTTACGGAAGGCTGCTGCAGGATTTAGCATTAAAAAATGAAAGTTCGAAATATGAAGCATAACTCTGATTCCGGGACCGAAATGAACTATAATAAATCCGGATTATCCAAATATGCTACCCGCCAAGTGTTTTCTCCAACAATATCTCGAGCAGTCGTCCCAAATTTTGCGTGGGTTAACCTATATTGCTACTCGTAAATTGGCTTATGAATATGCAGTGAAACTAAACAGAACATTTCCTGAAAAATGGCATGAGAAACGACAGGCGGGCATCGAATGGATAAAATATTTCATAGAACGGCACCTAAGACTCTCTCTTAGGAAGCCTGAAAACACGAGCTTTGGAAGAGCATCAGCTTTCAATAAGCACAATGTGGACACCTTTTTCAATAACTACGCTGATGTCCTCGAGAAATATAAATTTAACCCAAGTCGTATTTGGAATTCTGATGAGATTGGCATTTCCACCGTGTTACAAGCTCCAAAAGTTATCGCTGAAACTGGAAAAAGAGTTGTGAGTCAATGTGTCTCTGCAGAAAGAGGCACCACGTCACTTTCTGCGGTATTATTTTTCCAACAGGTACTGCACTTCCGCCTATGTTTGTATATCCCCGAGTGAGAATGAAGCACAATTTTTTGCATGGCTCTGTATCTGGCTTTATAAGTTACGGTACAAAATCAGGGTGGATGACCGCACCAGTTTTCGTTGAATCATTGGAACATATAAGAAAATATACGAATAGTACCCTAACAGATCATATCTTGCTGTTAATGGACAACCACGAAACACATGTATCAGTGGATGCTATTAACTACGCCCGTGAGAACGGGATCGTTCTGCTATCATTCACACCCCACTGCACACATAAAATGCAACCTCTCGATAAAGCTGTTTAGGGTCCGTTCAAGCAAAAACTGAAAACATTTTTCAATTATCATATATTAAGCAATTCAGGAAAGCCGACAACAATTCATGAAATTGCCAGACTAACAACTGAACCGTTTTTGCAATCTTTCACGCCAGATAATATCATTTTCGTAAGCAACTGTATGTCTCAAAAATCGGCTCATTTTTACTGAAGAAGACTATCTGGAGCATTTGTGACAGACCGACCAATGCCTGATCACTAAAAAAACGAAGCAACTATTATGAACATCAGTTCTAATTTAGAGTTGGATTCCACAAAACATGATGATTCAACACCTGAAATAAGTCAGCCTTCATCATCTAGAGAGTCGAGAGTCAAAGCATTTACCAGTCACTGATGGCCATGATCGAATGGTAGAAGACACCAATACTGCTTTTGACGTAACGGCGATGGTGCAATCGCTTTTAAAAGAAATTGTCGATGCTGCCACCAAAACTTCAATCAACATAATTTCCGTGGAAATTGTAAAACCTTCAGACATTAAGCCATTCCCAAGAGCAGGTTAGAGGAAAACCAATAAGAAGTCTCGACTTGGAAAATCTAGGATTTACACGTTATCATCTGAAAAAAAGAGAGTCAAAAGATTAGAAAAGGCTAGGCAAATGAGGGCAAACACAAAACGAATCAAGAGGAAGCTGCCACTGGACTTGGAGTTTCCTGGATCCAAAAAGTTTGAAAAGGGTGCAATCAAGAAAAATAAAAAATCGACGTCACGTAGCAATCCCAAACGTATGACTGACAGCTCATCTTTTGATTCAGATGGAGAAGAAATGAAAACAAATGACCAGGAAAAACAAATTCACCATTAGCTCTTCTGATGCAGACATCGATGTGACATCAGATCAGAACACGACGACTCTGACCTGCTCATAGGTATTTCCACAAACTTTATCTTGTTTGATGTTATTAGTAATATTTTGTTATTGTTCCAGATGATGACCAAATTTTGCCGAATGATTTTCTTTTAGTTAGATGTCCATCAAAGAAAAATGTGTTTCACTGCGTCGGACAAGTGATAGAATTGACGGAAGAGTATGTTGTTAAGTTCCTACGCAATTCCAAGGGCTATTTCAAGTTTCCTCCTGCAGAACACATTTCAGCTGTTTCTCGTGCTGACATTGAGTCAAAATTACCTAAACCTACAGCCACTGCGGCCACACCCCGATTGGCGAGTTTTTTGAAGTTCAAGATCACCCTCTATGGTTTGAATTTGGAATAATATTAAGGTATCCGATTAAAACGCTATTATTCAAAAACTGGTATTTTAGAATTATTCTAGTTATTTTACTCCCCATATTTGAACGTCCGAAACTACCCCAGGCATGTCCGCAACTGCCCCCATGTGGGGTACATTCGGACAAATGACAATTTTTTTTTTTTGTATTTTTCAAAGGAAACTTGGTTATAATCAACCAACATAGCTTCACAGGCAGTCCACAAGATGTCACTCTAGGTACTGACATACTTTCACATAGTTTTTATTCCTAACAATCCACAACTTTGGACTGTACATACAGCCGATTAGCCAGAAGTGTCCGAACCTGCTCCTCTCTACCCTATATTTCAATTTCAATTTATTTAGATTCAGATTCAACAGATGATGAACTTACAGTTTTTTTAAAAAGAATCGCTCTATACAACGGCACACAAGTATTATTATCCTCGTTTAAAACTATGCTCAAAAAAAATGGTGATTTGTCGTTGTCTACCCCAATGTAGTTTTGGTGCACTAAAAAAAACAATTCAGCAATTTACTTGGTTTAATTAATCGTGTATACTTACGTTTTCCAAGAAAATACTTAAAGTACCATCTCGTTTGATACTCGGGGTTTTCGAGAACGGGAGTGCTTGGAGAACCAAACATCTGGAAAAAGAAGAAATCTTGTTTACTCCACATTCCAAAACGTCTTTAAAGTGACGAATGGCATTACTTGAATAGCTATTTTCCTATCCTCAAGTTTAGATCAGGATTTGGCGCTACCTACTAGTTTATTTTTATAGTAAGAAAAAAAAGTTCAATATGAAAGTTGATTTGTTTGAAGCGGGCTTTTATCGTATTCTCTTAATTAATACAGGATGTGCACTTTTCCAACTCGTGCGAAAAGTCTCTTTTCCTCACTTGAATTTCACGCACCAAAAAGCGGCATAGTTTACCTATGTTTCCAATGTTGTCACTGTAGTGTCTATCTTGAAAAAAATACAGTATTTGTATATCTATTATTACAGAGGCGATGCTTGCTACAACGCGATTTTTATAGTGGGTGGTCAATTTTAATTATAACTAATAACCGTGTACTTAGATCAGATAGATCGATCCAACTATGTTCTGTTTATATTATTATAGCAGTTGAAAGATTTTATTGAGCAACAAGCAGTTTTGAGAAAAAAATCTTCCACTGAAGTTGCTGGAATAATGTCTTACTGCTGCTGAAAATTGCACGCTCGTAGAAAAAAAGACATTGAACTTTTTCGAACGGGGAGAAGCGAGACTGACTTCATAGAAAAGATAGAATAGCAAAATATATCCACATTGTTTCAAACTTGCGAAGAAGCTTTGCAAAGTTCGTGCCAGCAGTTTTCATTTTAGAGTATTTTTAGCGGTTTATGTTTACCAGAGTTCCGATAACGTTAGGTTTTCTCGATAGGTAGCATTTTATGTGAAGCTTTATTTCAGGAAATTTTCCAGAGTTTGTGATCCTTAAAAGTTAACTAACCATTAAAGTATAGAAAGCTTTTACGGCATTGGACATAATTGTGTTTTAGGATGATAATGGGCTCTTTCACTAAAATTTAAATACGTAAGTTAAGCATAAAATCTTAAATTTTAGGTATATTTGCCGAAAAAAAAAAGATCTTCGAGCTTAAATGAGTTTTTCTACAGGCATTTCAAAAGTGGGAAAATTTTAAATCCTTAAAACGCGCCAAACGATGACGTGTAAGGGATATGACCATCTTCCACCAATCAAATTTAAAAAGACTCCATCGACGAAGCACGAACGGCAGTTCTGGTGGTTACTTGCTTAAAGCTTTGATTGCGCTGTTGCCAGTTACGACTAAATCTAGTACCTACGTCGTGAGAAAAAAATTAGAACTGAAAAATTAAATTATATATTGTAAGATAATTCTTATTAGGGAAGTAGAGTACACGGGAAGAAAATTAAACGAGAACCGATAGAGAAAACTGATTACTGTATATTGGTCTTATATTAACAGAGAAAACGGAATGAAATTTGCGTTATTGCACTATATACGTTGACATCTCGTTGTTGACAGGCCGTGTAGCAGGTTGACATTTATACCGAGAACCACAGCAGGCCGATCAGTGGCGTGGGGATTAGGGAATTTTGTTACAATCTCCCCCTGTGCTCCACACAATCGTCCCGAGTGTGGCGTACATCAGAAGGTGGTGTGGATCATGCTGGTTTCTTGCGTGGGAGACCTCGCTTTCTGATAGGTCGCGTAGGCGCAGGCAGATCCTCTTCTTCAGATGCGCGATATGAATAGAGAGCAGAGGCGTGATATTTACCGACAGCCGTTTCCGGCGTGCTAGGTTAAGCAACCTCGTAAGTAGTAGGCGTAACTACTTTCGTAATTATGTAAGGCCCGCCACGTCGGGGCGCGAAATTGGACGTGTAAGTCTTACTGGCGTTACTTACTACGTGCGAGTTAACAAGTACTTTGTCGCCGACCGAAAGAGAAATGTCGCGCACTTGTTATAGTGATACTTATTACGACGATCTTGGGTTTGTTCGTGTACGTCGCGAGCTTTGCGTAGAGTGTCACTCATATTTAGTAGGTAGGGTGTGCTTTGCGATACGAAGTTCGCGTTTTCGACAATAGCCCGGAAATGCGCAACTCGCGACCAAAGGTTAAGAAGGCCGAGGTAAATTCGGTGGAACAACAGCGTGCGGTGTTCATTGCGAATCGAATAGCCGGCAATTTAGATGACACGGTATGATCTTCGTTTGTGAGGATGGCTAACTGGGTCTTTAAGTCCAAGTTCTTCCGTTCCACAGGGTTTGCAGCTGGGTGATAGACTGTTCTGATGAAATCCAAGGCATTCTGCTACGTGCTGCATAACAGAACTGACGAACTGAGTACCGATGTCACTAATGACACGACGAGGCACTCCGTAGCGCAGGATGACTTCATCAATTAGACAAGTAGCACATGCTTGTGCCGTGGCTGTCTTGAGAGGGAAAAGCTTGGTCCATCTACTAGCTGTGTCTTCGATTGCAAACACCCATGTAAATCCTTCTTGGCTAGCAGGCAAAGGGCCAAATAGCTATGCCTTCAAATCGTTGGTTCTGCGTGGGGCTTTGCAATAGTCCAGCAGGCGTAAAGTGGGACACCTTGTACTTTTGGCACTGGAGGCACCTGCGCACGTAATCTATGATTTCTTTTCTCATACCAGGCCAGAAATATCGGAATGCTATGCGCTGGTACGTTTTCTAAATTCCATAGTGGCCCGCAGTCTCGGAATCGTGGTACTGGGTGAGCACGTGTGGGATCCTCGTCTTTGTCACCACTAGTCGAGGTTCTTCTTCGGCTTCATCCGTGTACCGATACAGAACACCGTTATTTAGTATATCTCCCCGTTCTGCTCATTTCTTGAAGTGGATATCAAGATAATTGGAGTCTTCCAAACTTTTAATGATTTTCGCCACTTCAGGATCTGCTAATTGTTCTTCTCGGACGTCTGCAGCGCTGAGAGTAGGAAAGTCGATCGAAACTAGGTTTATTCAGATGTTATCGTCGGTGTCGTCTCTTTCACATGGTGGTCTAGACAGTGTGTCGGCTATGATATTCTTCTTACCAACGATGTACTCAATTTTGATGTCGTAGGGCATGAGCTCTAGTGCCCAACGAGCAAGTCTGCCACTTGGTGATCTGAGTGTCATAAGCCATTTCAAGGCTTGATGATCGCTTTGCACAATAGTTTGGCATCCTTCTAGGTATCCCCTGAACTTCTTGAAGGCCCATACTACTGAAAGAGCTTCGCGCTCTGTGGTATTATAATTCTGTTCAGCAGATGTCAGCAGTCTAGAGGCATATTCTACTGGGCGCTCATCTGGTCCCTCCCCCTGGAGTAGACACGCTCCCAAAGCGTAGTCACTAGCATCCGTTCGTAGGATATATGGCAATCTGATGACTGCTTGCCTCAGGATTGGGGCGGAACATATAATCGTCTTAAGCTTACTGAAAGCTGCAGCTTGATCTGGACCCCAGGTCCACTTGACGTTTTTCTTGATCAGTGTCGTTAGTGGCTTAGCAACGTCGGCGAAGTTTTCAACAAAACGACGAAACCATGAGCAGGTTTGGATAAATCCTAACAGTTGCTTGACGTTTTTCGGTGGAAACATGTTTATGATGGCAGCGACTTCATCTTCACATGGACGTATTCCTTCCGTGGAGAGCATGTATCCTAGATAATGGACGGCTTCACAGGCGAATCAACATTTAGATCCATTAAGTGTTAACTTGTACTGCGCAATTCGCAGGAATACTTTCCTTAGGTTGGTCAAATGGTCTTCGAAAGACGATGACATGATGATCAAGGCATCAAGGTATGCCAACATGGAGACGTCTTGTATTCCTAACCTAAACCTATCGATGATGCGCTGATAAGTACTGGGCGCGTTGCGGAGTCCAAATGGCATGCGCTTGTAACGGTAGGTACCGAAAGGGCAAACGAATGCAGTTTTCTCCCTATCTGAAGGCTTCACGCTGATTAGATGATATCCCCTCCTGAGGTCTAAGGTCCTGACTCGTGATGTAACCCCTTTGCTTAGCTGCGTGCAAAAGATCATCGATTCTCGAGATGGGGGTATCTGTCTGGTCTGGTGATGGCACTTAAGGCGCGGTAGTCTATCGTGAGACGTACCTCGTGGTTCTTTTTGGGCACGAGGATGACGGGCGCTGCGTACGGTGACTCGCACTCTTCAATGTAGTCGTTTTCTAGTAGCTTGTCAAGTTCTTTACGAAGAATCGATTTTTTGGGCTCTGACATCCTATACGGCGGTACTGCGATGGGTGTGTCATCCATAAGTACGATGCTATGCTCGGCAAACGGAGTCGGATCTTTTGAAGGAACAAAAATTTCAGAAAATTCACATAGAAGTGAGTTGAGTATACATCGTTGTTCTTCGCTAAGCTTCCGTGCTTTGTTGTCACAAAGTTCGAGCTGGTCGTACTGTACAGTATTGATAACGCACGTGTTATCAACATTCGAATCGAAAAGGTAAGTATTTACAGGATCTCCACCAAAACTATACCGGTTTTGAGGCACGTTGAGGAGGAGGTTAGCCGCTCTGATGAAATCAGTACCGAGAAGTATTCGGCTGTTGTCGTGTTCAGGTACAGAGATGAACTTTGTGGAAACCAATTTATTATGTAGCAAGACATCACATCGAAATATGCGAGTGTCAACTCTCCTCGTAACACTGTCTGCTAAAGTTATTAATAAACGCTCGGTGGTAAACGGAACGGAGTCATTTAACAATAGGCGAGATAATGTAGCACCGGCAACACTGCGTTTCGTATCCGTGTCAACGAATGCACATCCACAATGTCGATGACCGTTGATCGCGATAGGTACCAGTGGCCTTACTGCCAAAGTTTCATCGTCCACGAAATTGAATAAAAACTCGACATCTCGTCCCACGATAACCGTATTGGTATCAGTTTGTTCCGGTTTGCAAGTGGGAAAGTAACTTTTTATATATCCCAGCGCGCCACACTCGTAACACTTAACACTGGATGCCGAAGGTTACGGCGGCTTTGCAGGATTCAATGTTATCGAAGGTTTGATCGAAGGCGAATTTTGTCTATCGGCAGACTTATTTTTATTTATTCGCTTACGACATTCGTCAAATGTGTGTCCAGTGTATTTACAAAACGAACAGCGTTTTTTGACTGCACCGTAGTCGTTGTATGCTGTCGGTTCACTAGAAACGTCAAAAGTATCTCCTGCTAAGCGCGCATGCGTAAGTAGTTCACTAAATGACGCTACTTTATTGCGGGGAACTTTCTCGCGAATTTTACGATGCAAAAGTCCGTAAACCATATCAAGCTGGATCTCTTCCACAAGCGTACCGGGTGGCAGCTGTGCTAAGATAGAAAGCGCTTTACATATAAAAATGTCTGATTTGGTTCTCGAGTCCTGCTCAGGGGCGAACAGTTCGCGATACACGCGGTAGGCAAACTTGGCAGGGCCAAAAGTCGAGCGCAACAAGTCTATAGCCTCCTGCCATGTAGTTAGCGTAGATTTTACACCTTGGTACCACGACGCGGCGAAACCGTCCAAGAGCATTGTAAGGCCTTTCAAAGCATTTACGTCCGAAATGTCTGTGCAACTTTTGAAAATCTCGATGGCATCGATGAAGGCTTTACGCGAATTACACTTCGCAAAATTACCACTGTGCGCTACAGCGGGAGGATTTTGAACATGTTGTGCATTAACAATGGCGAGACGATCCATAAGTTCGCGAAATTGCTCCTGTGTAAGGCTGACGGACGCCATTTTGTTCGAACGGAGGTTGTACGAGTGTGCCGAACCGTCCACGATGCAACAATAGCAACTCAAAAGAAAATAAGACGCTATTTACAGTTTGGAGGCTTCAAACCAAACAAATCACCCACCTTGACACTTCTTATGGAATAAAAACTACCATAAACGAGGCACTACCCTTGACTCTACCTGTGTTTGATGCACAATAGTTAATTAATTATTGTATTGTCGCTAATACCGGACTTAACACAGCTGTTCTGGTTGATAACTCGGAAACAAAACCGGCAAAAACGTTGGGGAATCAAACGATGTACAAAATAACTTGTATTCGTAACGATTTCGACATAGTTTCGGTGATAATTCACACAAAAAGTACAGAAAACCGGTGATAACTCACGCAGTACCTAATGCGTCACAGTTGTTCACAATTCGGCTGTTTCTCGGTTATGACTCCCGTACCAAACGGGCGCGAAAAACACCATCGGTTTCGTCGAACAACTACACGAAAATCGCGACCGGCACACAATAGTCACTCTACCAGTCTTGAAACTCACCTTGGTCCCACGTTGGGCGCCAATTTGTAAGATAATTCTCAGGGAAGTTGATTACACGGGAAGAATTAAACGAGAACCGATAGAGAAAACTGATTACTGTATATTGGTCTTGTATTAACAGAGAAAACGGAATGAAATTTGCGTTATTGTACTATGAGCGTTGACGTCTCGTTGTTGACAGGCCGTGTAGCAGGTTGACATTAATACCGAGGACCAGCCGATCAGTGGCGTGGGGATTAAGGAATTTTGTTACAATATGATAATATTTCAAAAAAAATAAAATAATATGAACTGTTGAATCCCTAAGTTCCAGTTGAACTATTTTTATAGATATTTTTTCAACATTTTAGAATTAAATATATTACAAATTTTCAGTGCTGAAAATGAGTGGCAAGTGGCAACACTATCAAAGTTGTGACGTAGTGCGGATAAATTTCATGTTTTTATTTAGACAGTTTTCTTTTTTGTTTGTTTTTTTTTTTCAAGAAGGACTCCAAGTTTTTCAGAAGTAAGGGTGCAGAAAATTCTATTTATAGTTGCTTTATGCCAGTTTCAGAAATTAGTGAAAGAGCCCATTCAAAAGAGTGTTTCTGTAGATACTTTCGTTCTGTTTCTGTTTAAACGAATGCTATACCTACTTCCGCAAATATTAACATTAACACTGTAGAAACGTTCTCTAAAGTTGAATAAACATTTCGCATCTAAGAGATAATACCTATTTATCCCAGCCAAAATACACAGAAAAAATCCTACAATCAATGTTATATTATATTTGAAAAATTCACCTTGATCCAAGGAGAGCAATAGTAAGTAGAATCAAATAAAATAATTGCTGCCATTTGAAAACTAAAATTGGTTTGGATACAACAATATTATTGGCTCTTTATTTAAGCTATTCTTGCATGAAATAGAATATACGATGACAAGTCAATCATTCTAAAATTTAAATGCTCTATTGACTTCCAATGATTGATTCAAAGTTTTCATTCGATTATATAAAACTTTTTGTGTATGTATGGTTCACAAAATTCTTGGAAAACTTTATTTTATTTTAAATTATTTGTGAAATAAATTGACATTATTGTGTTTTTTAATAATTACGATGTAAATATTTTGGGAAAATATTGATAGTGCACATTCATATTGAACTGGTATAGTATTGGCAATACTAGGCCAGTTGTGGTGTGATTTGTTCTATTACCCTAAATAAAAGATCACGTAAGCTTCTGTCAACAATGTCATCTTGTAACTCGCAGAGGATTAACCGAACTAGCCTACATAGAACTATGCTGACGTAACTGGAAAGGTCGGGAAGCGAATAACTCGCAGCAGAGATGGGGCATATAGAGGTAGCATGGTGGACACGTTGCGTTCTTTCTCTAACACGCTGCTTGAATGAAGAAATCGAGCGATTTATTAGAAAAGTAAAGTTTGAAAAATCGGTCGGACTATGTATTTATTGAGCGTATTAGAAATAGAACGCATCTCATCTACCCTGCTATTTCTATATGCCTCATGCCTCACTTTTGTTGCTACACACAGCGTTTCCAGCGTTATTAATAATTGGTCAGTGCCGGCAGCACATGTGCATCCTTTAACATTTTGAGGCTATGGCGCCAAATGTATCAGGGCATAGAAATCTCGACATCATGCACCAAAACACTCATATACATATAGTTGACACATTGCACAGATGGATTTCATTGATTTCAAAAGCAAATAATTCTCAAAGGTAAATTCATACGTAACTCTGGAACATTACATAATATATACATGTCACGTAAGTGATTTTTGAGCCAAAATTTCTAAATTTAAGTCGTAGGTAGTGAAAGGGTTAGGGCTTATTTTGGACACTAACAATTTTATATTTGACCTTAAATCAGGGACGTAGCAAATCAAAACCGGGCCCTGGTGCAAGACTAGAGCACAGCGGGCCCCCCTTTACCATGTGCATCAGTAGGTTGAAATTCATTGACCGGGAGGGGGGGTCATTGAAGTGATATTTAGGCCAAGAAGTTATTACTTTCCGGCCTAGCCTGAAAAGTATGTTCTTTCCGGCCGAAAATATAGTGTACGTAATACGCCCGAAAAGTGTGTTTTCGGACTCGTAGAAAAATGTGGAGAAAAGTGACATTAAAAATTTTAAACTGATGACGCATTGGCATTAGGTTTGTTTGTTTGTGTTGTTCGGGGCAGCACTTGCTTCGAGGCGTTCCTTTGTGAGCGTTTTATGTGGGTGTATCTGCCATAATCTGAAATATTACAGCTTAGTTCAAGTTAGTGCGACACAAACAAACAAACCTATTGTTGTGGCGAGAGCGCTAGGTAGAATTTCTTTCTGATTGCTAAAACGATCAGGGATTAGGCTAAAAATGAAGCATTTTACGGACTGAAATGGCCCCGTAAAATAGACATTTTTGAGACACTAGTACTAGGAGTCGGAGGGCTGACTCAAAAAAAAATTTGTAGATATCGATTTTACAGTTTTCTGTTTCGGTTTGAAATCGCCAAAGCGAATATTGCTTGGGCGTGCGTGATATGATTTTTTTTTTTTTGATTTTCTTGTATGTTTTGTCCAAAAAGCGGCAGGACTCAGCACTCGCCGGGCCTCTTTGGGGACCGGGCCCTTGTGCGCGGCACGACTTGCACGACCTGTTGCTACGTCCCTGCCTTAAATCGTAAAAGTGTGTAGGATTTAATGTGGTTTAGTAACTTTTTCTAAAGTAATACAATTTTCGTGTTCGAACGATATTTAAAAAGCCGATGAATTTGAAGGTCGGCAGAGATACTTTTTAAGCAAAAAGCTCCATTCAATACAAGAACTATAAAAAGCACTTACCTCGTCCTTTTCCCCTGGGGAGTCGCCGTTTTCAATCCTGAACCTCCTGCAGTGTTCCTGGCCATCGACTTCCGGCTGCTGCAACTAAAAATTAAGCTGTAAATAATTTACTTCGAAATAAATAAATTAAAGTCACATAATTATTGTAGCTGCAAATCTCAGAAAATGCTTCGAAGCGATTATAAGTCGGCACCAAATAATTCGAAAAGGCGTTCGGTGATGTGTCTATAATCATATTGAGGCGCGTCCCAGATAGTTACTCAAGCATTTTGTTCGACTTGGCTAACAATATGAGTATTTGCCCAAATTTAGAAATGAAAGGCTTTGTGGTTAAATGAGAGTTCATTGAGGTATACAAAACATGATGTCCATGTTCCCTAATTAATTTATTTAACGTTGCGGAACATGCTCTGATTATATCACACTATGTTTGTTGTTGTTGCTGTTTCCTGAAGACCTGATTATACGTTTTTGTTTATTTATTACATCTTATAATATAGTGGAACTGGATAATTACTTTCAGGATAATTATTTCTTCTTTGTCAATCAAAATCGATATTTTGCACTGCTTCTTCTAACAAAATTTTAACTCGTGTAATGTTTTCCATAATTTTTTTAGAGCCATTCTCGTCCGCCTTAGTACTATGCTAATATTCCATTTATTATTAGGATCTACCTATTTAAATAAAACGAATGGACTGAGACAGTAGTACTTGTTACAAATAAATTTACTTATTTGTAATTTAGAGCAAGAGAACCTATAGGGTCGTGGAATTCTAAAATAAAGATAACGTATTACTTTATGTGCAAATGAAACCACTCAAATTCCATCAAACGCAATACTTTTATTTAGTACTTGTAAATATTAACACTGTATTGGGTTTATTTATGAACATTTAGCTCGATATTTAGTCTTTCTGGTGAATCTGATACAGCATGTACCTTTCCAATCCGGACCTCTTCAATACATGTTGCGGTTTCACTTCCGTGAACTGAAGCTTTCCGGGTTGTTTCCTATATCCAGGAAAGAGGATAGATTGCTGGTGTGACTTCATTCCAGCCGATCCAGACTCCAAATAGTGATTTTTTATGTGGAATAGGTACCCAGAAAGGAATAAAACAGTATCAGGTTCACCAAGGATTGGAATATTAAATTCCTGAATTCTAATAAGAAGTGAGTATCTTGCAGGGAAAAAAAATTAATATGGAATTAGTTTATGATAAAACTATTGTTGCGCAGACACTCCTTTCCAACAGAATCAGGTTGCACAACTATTGCAAATTGGAAAATATATTTTTATAGAAAAACAATTAAATAATTTTAAAAAAAAATGTAAAATATAGTAGCAATAATTAAGTAAGTAAGTACAGCAAGATTTAAAATAGATGCTCGTTTACATTGAGCAGAATGCTGCTTCTCAAGCAGCGGCGCTGAACAGGCAAATTTAAAAAAAAAAATATATATGTTTATATAGGCAACAAAATAAAAAAATTAAATAATCCTCTAGATTTTCCCCAAATAGATAAATTTTCCTTTTAAGTTAAGGTACCTACTATTGGTACTACAAGATACAGCTGAGGGTGAAATAAATTAAATACATCAATAACTTTCAAAATTCCTGAGATGTTTCAATTAAAACTATATTAAAATTTCATCCTTTCAGCACTCTCCTTCCTCAAGAAGATAATGAGGGAGTCAAACAATAATTGGCCAGATAGGTTTCTGTCTGGCTTCAGTAACGTATTGATAGGGATGGACACACAAATTTGGTTTACACCTACTCTATCTAGAGATAATGGTCCAATAATCCCACACTAACAACTAGTTTCAACGCAGTTCAAATACTTCAGAACAAAATTTCAAAAATATTATTTAATATGATGCACTAACTAGCACAGAAAAACTGTATACCGAATTAAATATTTCTAGACTTGATGTAATATTGGAGTTTGAACAAATTATAGTTATTTATATTACTAGTACCGTATGAGCTTCATTACAGTAACGAGTGGGGAATATTGCCAAGACGAGGTCGTAGACCGAGTCTTGGTAATCACACGAGTGGTGTAATGAGCGTTACCGTACGTGTGATATACAACATTTTATGTACGACCAAGATTTTTTTCATATATTCGAAATGGTTTTAATTTTGCACAAAAGATTATATTTATAATTTTTGATAAATGAATTTCAAAAAGTGCCGTTTTTCATTATAATTAGTTACGTAATGAGCTCTCATTACATCACTGAGTGATGTAATGAGAGCTTATTACATCTCTGAGTGATGTAATGAGAGTTCATTACATCACTAAGCACGATAATGTACCTTATTACGTAACTCAAACAGGCTAAAATGAGTTACGTAATAAGCTCTTTCTTATAGTGTAGGTCGTACATAAAATTGATTTATGAAATATTAAACAAAACACAGATAAACACACGAACAAATATAGGACTAAATAACTCTTTTTTACTAGCCAGCAAGTCATATAACAAGGTTCCAGAGAACATGAAAAATATAAATAATTTCCAACTGTTTGTTAAAAAAATCAAAATATTTTTAGGAATATAGGATAGGTATTGTTAAAATTAAGTAAATCTTTAAGTGTCCAACACTTATATACATATAATTTTAAGTATTCTCGAGGCCAGAGTTATGTAAGCACTGTTTAGAGAATTTATTGTAAACAAATATTATATCAATTGTTGTGAAATAAAGATATTAAAAAAAAAAGATCCAACTACCAAAGCAGCAATACCTATCTATCAGCCAAAACTTTCACAATAGGTAAAAAAATATAATATTTATATTTTAAAGGTAGATGAGATAAGATATCAGGTAATTAAAACCCAACAGTGATAGTAGACACTGATGGTGAAATAAAACGAAAAATATTAAGGGAAAATCTAGAAATCTGAGGCAAAAAAATTACAAAGTGAAAATTGACTTGCGTGTTCAATGGTCTGCCAGAGAAGAGGCATTTTTAGAACCCAATTCCCTTGAAGAGAACCAGTCTTATGTTTTTATTACTTAACTGCGTAGTAACCATTGAACCAATCAAAAGACATCACTTAAACACACACAAAAGATACCGTCTTTGCTTCATTAATGAAACACCACGCTGATTAAATGGGAATAGATAAAAACACACTAGAATTATTTCAATTGTTTACGGATTATAATGATTGAAATAAAGGTTATGTTAGACACACAAAACCACTAATTATTTAGATCATCAAGTTGAAAATAATCATTTTAGATTAGAAGTTAGAGAAAGACAGAAATATATTTATTTATTTGCTGAAAGCAAAATAAACATAATTTCTTCAAATAAAAATATCAATGAGGAATATTAAAAATAGTTAAAGAAACCTACCACAATTTTTAAATAAATTTATTAGGTACTAGATGGCGGTACGTTAGTCCTTCTATCAGTAACAGATATTTGCATTTTTATGCTCATTTTATTTATGGATAGATGGCAATACTGATATTATATTGAGATGACCGTTTTCCCAGCAATTCCCTTAAGTAAGGAATAGTTAAGGTACACTTATAATTCAAGTAGCCCTTAATACTTGTTGCGTTGCTCAGCGCCCCTCAGGATCAACTCTTAATAAAGAACAAAGTACAGTCTGGCAACGTTGCATTTCTGTCAAAATAACGTCGAAAATAATCCCAAACCTCATTTATTTTAATTTTGGCCAGATTCCGGGCCCGGCATAAACACAACGCAAAATATTATTATTATTATTATTATTTTTGTTTCTATTTTTAGTTGATGTTGATATTTGTTCACTCTACAGGCTGAAGCCAATAATGCTTCAGATGTCCTCTTCACTATTCCAGATACTATGATGGTATAAATTCCAATGAAATTTGCAACATAATGGTCTCTTTCCTCGACCGAAGCTTTTAAGAAAAGTAAAAATTGTCCATTTCTTCCAAGTAATTAGCTTTTTCATAAGTTCTTCGTGGAAATCCGTTTTCGATAATATCGAAAACATCTAAATCATCGTTCAAAAATTCCATTATTTTGAGACAAGAATCCAATTTGACCAAATAGATTCAAACAAACATGCCAAACCAAAAATGAAATTTTGAGGTTAAAATTCTCTACTTATAAACTTAAGACGCCAAATTTGGTCACTTAAGTTAAGGAGTCCTTAAGGGGCGGGGCAACTTACGAGCAAAGCAAACGGAAAGCTACCGCTAAGATTTCCTTACCACTAAGTAGGAAATCCTTAAACTATCCTTTACGAGTGCTGGGCTGGGAACATGGCTATAATTAATTAAATTTAGAAGATACTTTTCAAATTACCTACTTAAGTTATGAATTATTATTTTGCTGATTCTGAAATGGCGAAAATACATTATAATGAAAATTAGAAGAAATGGAACATGTTACGAAAATGATATATTTATCGTAACATCGTATTATACTTCTTGCTAGTTTATCAACTTCTAACGGTTTAATCGGTTAAAGGCATCTGATTCACAAGTGCATACACTATACATATGTGCAGACACCACTTACAAGTGCAAAATTCATACTGAATTGCCATCAGATAATAACCCAACCTATAGTTTCCTGGGTCTTATGACCGCCCATGGTTTAGACTCGCTAAATGATCTTGAAGTTTCACTTCAAATAAATAATTAGGCGCACATAGTGCACACGTGTTTTTTCTTTTCATATACCTGAATTAGCCTTAATGTATTTCAGTTAGTTTGAAAAGTTACCTTGTATATTCACGTTAATTAAAAGTTGAAAATAAATTACTGAGAACCAGACTATTATTATGAAATATCCTTTTGCCTTATCATTTCCGAATTGTCGAAACGTAATTTAACTTCGCAACTTAGTTGCATAAATGAGCGTACTTTTTGTGTTTAAAATTTCATAAATTCAAAAATGTACATCAATTTACAGTTGGATTTTCGTGGCATGCAGACGTTTCAATTAAAATTGACGGAAAATTTTCTTGCTTCGACTAGGATTTGAGCCCAGGACCCTCGCATATCCAGTGCAACGCTTTACCAACTCAGCTACCAAGACCTGTTTAATTTTTACCTTGTCGT